TCCTCACATTGTATATATTTTTTTCTTTATTTATAGTGTGAAAACATTTTTCCTTACTTTAAAATTTGTTACTGTTTGAATTTTTAAGACTTTGGTTAAATTTTTTAATAAAATTGACTACAACTTTGGATATCTTACCTTTTTATCTTTAGCACCAGCATCCTTACATATCAGCAATGATAAATAATGGAACTTTACATTATGATCATGATCGTGATGGTACCCATACCCAGTTAGCTGGATGTGAAGCCAAGTTTAGGAATGTGGATTATGATACATATATTTCTGTAAAGTATGAGCATGATGTACTAACAGGTAAGATGGTTAATTGGTGTTTTATTTATTTATAATATAATAAACTAAACTACCATCACTTTTGTTATAGTATCAACTGATATAGAAAATAAAGCAGCATGGAAGGAATGCTTTCAAGTAAAAGGAGTTAAATTACCAACAGGATATTACTTTGGATTTTCGGCAACTACAGGGGATCTGTCTGATAATCATGATATTATTTCAGTAAAAATGTATGAACTAGACCAGCCAAATGAGGCAAGTATTTTGCATTATTAATGTTATTTGATTAAGTTTGTAATGTTTTATTACAAACATCTTTCATTAACAATTTTAAAATTAATAGGCTGAAGCAAAAGAAGACAGGTCTAATATTCTGCCTTCAGCCACATACTTTGAGCCTCCCAGAGATCACGTTGATGATGCTAAACCGTCTTCATTGTCTGGTATTAAAATTTTCTTACTCATGCTGGTAGGAAGTATAGCTCTTGTTGCATGTGTGGTACTTGGATGTATGTTTTATCAAAAGCAACAAGAACAGAGCAGAAAGAGGTTTTATTAAGTGTACATAATTTTTGATAATTTTGATACATCAGCTGCGTGATCAATCATTTGTTAGTTGTTATTGTTAATTTATTAATATCCTTCCGTTTTACATGTGTAATGTGTTCAAGAGCTTATGGGTCATTTCTATGCATAAATTAGGTGGCCTTGAACGTAAATGTAGTAAAATTACATCATGGCAACAAAACAGTAATGAAACATCNCTAGTTGGTGATACAATTTAAACTGTGCAAACATTAAAATTAAAAAAAAAATTGTGGACCTCTGGGACATTTTTGTGGTAATGAAGGGTGAAAAGGGTGTTCAGCTTTCTTTTTTAAGTGATTTGATTGGGGTAAATACTGTTGATATGAGGATATGCTATATGTAAATGTTATTTTCAGACAGATTCTTTTTTGAGGCTGTATATTAATATATTTTTATGAGGCAATTTGCGTAACTTTTTACACGTTTTATATTGATTAAGTAATATGTAATTTGGTCCTAATTACGATAGGCTCCTTGTATATTTTCTGAAAAAAGAAATGCTGACTGATTTGTATATTATTGTCATTTATATAAAGGTGTGTTATCCTCTATTAATTTTAGATAAATAAATAATTTAATAAATTGTTAAGGATACTTTTTTACATCTACGTATACAGTTTAATACTTTATTTCTGGGCTACCTTTTTCCTATTTTGTGGACCGGATTTGATTTATTTTAAACCTAGAAATAATTAATTGAAATTGTAGACTCGCTTGGCACTTGGTGAAACATTTTTATAAAAGTAATGTAAATGAATTAAAACACTTGGCAAGTTTCACAATGTTGTTGAAACTTGCCAAGTGTTTTAATTCCTTTACTTTACTTTTCTAGAAATAATTTTCACAATTTATAAAAAACAAAATGCTGATAAGATATTCTTATGATTAATGTTAGACAAATAAGCTTGAATTAAGGAATAAATGGTTATTTTATTTTTAAATTGTACTACACTTCTTTAGCATTTGAATTAAAAAGATGTGCCAAAAAGAGAAGTTACATTTTCGCTCTCAAAGTGTGTAAGAAATCTTGTGATTACTTGTAATGGTTTCAATGTTTTATTTGTAATGTATGTAACATAGAAATTGTGAAATTACTGTTGGACCAAAAAAAAATTAAAAGTACATTTAACAAGCAAAATAATTTTTGTTCATTTACCATAATAAAACGTAATCTT